ATCATGATAGATTATTTGAAAATATTTTTGTAAGTGTATACCGAGTCTTGAGACATGTTTTGACTTTTACGAACCTTTGAAATTTAACTTATATAATTTTTTTATAACAAAATTTAGAATTCTTGATATTAAATTTGTCTGTATAAGGAGTTCCTGTTTTTCCTTGACGGGACTGCGATTACAGATTACAAGTATTAGGTATCTTCTATCTTGGCTATGATTCTCATCACTAAGTGGCTAATTAAACTGGAAATGTCGCCGATTTAAAGTTAAGGGTTGAAAAGGTGAGTGGTAGCCACCATCCCCATATAGCATGATTTGTTTTTGCTAAGCATTTTGATATGAACCTTTTGGAGTTGATTTAAATAGAGAATGGAATTGAAAAGATAATAGATTATAGTGCAAATATGGGATGGTCCCCACAGTATTGTTCCACAATATCGGATTATATGCCAAATGTCCGATGAACAAGAAGATCTCGGGATTTATATGTCTTAACCTTGTCTCCAATTATTATTTGGCACTTCCGTTCCGCAACCTCGATCATGGAGAGTGCGCACACGCTCTCGTTCAGCTACGTAATCCAGCAGTACATAACATGCGGATCTAGTCATTAGATTTCACAAACCAATCTTAAGTATCGTCAAATTACACACCAGGTTAATCTAATCAATTTTATTTATTTTGAAAATAAGAAAATGTTTGCTAATTAAAAAGTATATAATTTAATTTCATACACAACTTTTTTCATAATTTTCAATAAAAAAAATTATTCATTAATATTCTTGAAATATTTGTTAACAAAAGCTTTAAAGTCATTGCATATAAATAATATTAAGACGTTAATCTTAGTTTTTATGAATAATTTTATCCATTTAAAAATAGTTTATAAAAATATTTACTGTAATTTTATATTTTTAATATAATAAATATTTTAGATGAAGTTAATGTTTTTATATGATTAAAATTAGTTCTAAAATTCTTTTCTATTTTCACAGTTTCATTATCAATACAATATTTAACATTATAGCCAAAAACAAGTGATATTATTGATTAACTTGATATTTGAAAGTTTAAAAAAATATTATTTTAAATTTTCATTTTAAAAAATGTAAAAATGTACAATAATAATGTAACTATTAAAATTGTAAATATTAAAAACCACTTTTAAAATTAAACATCTGTGTTCATAATCTTGTTTAATTCAAGTTTCACAAAAATATTAATTGAATTATTTTAAACGAGAAGTGTCACTAACTTTTAAAACAATATCATAATATGATAAACGATAATGAAAGTAAAGCTTGATTTATTTACCTATACATTATGAATAACAAATTAAAATTAAAAGTTAAATTAATATCTCGCTCATAATGGTTCAAATTTTATCTAAATGAAAAGAAAATTAAATCGTATTTCTATCCTAAAGTATGAACATTTGAATTCAAATTACTGTTCATTTTTATTCCATTTACAATTTATTATACCTATGTATTTAATCTGGCGACAGTTAAATTTTTACTTAACAAGAGATGTTAAATAATATTTTTGTTAATTGGTATAATGTTTTAAACGATAGTGCACTTGAACAAGAGAGAATGCATGAGAGGATCCAAATAAGAATAGAAGTGATCATGCGATGAAAATATTATACTTTAAAAAGGAAGGGCACATGAATTCCCGACAAGGGAGAAGGGTAGGACTCTTGCCCCTATTATTTTTGGGTTGGAGACTCTGGTCTGTCGCTTTCTACTGAGGTAGGGATCTTTGTCTTTTGGATCTCCTGCTCTCTCATCAATATCACCTTTTCAACAGTTAATAAGAGGTTAATCGTTAGAAAATTCAAATCATCTATTTTGGTTCCCTGTTGATAATAGTTTACTTTATTATCTTTTGATAAATGTTATTGTAATCAATTAAAATTATTATAAGCTGTTTTTTTTTTTAAATTAAACATACTTTTTATATGTATGATCCCTTTGTCTTCTCCTCACTTCTTTATCCTTTGTTTAAATAATGAATATAGAACATATGCTCCCAAGTCACTAGAATAATTAAAGTACCATATAAAGAAAAAAAAAACTATAACATTACAGTTTTGATAAAATATATTCAGTTAAATAAAATTTTACATTGTTGAATTTATTTGTAAGTAATGAACATACAAATGTTTCGTTTTGTATCACTCGTTTGAATGTTTTTTCCTTTTCCTCAATTATTCTTATAGTGTTATTGTTCTGTAAAAAAAATGAACAAAATTAGTACTTTAACCTTTTTTATTTTATTTTAGTGTGACCTTCTAACTCTTTTATTTTGTGTTATTTTTTCAAATTTATTTTTTATTTCGATTTAATCCTTTAAAATGAAGTTTGAAGAAATAACAAATAAAACAAAAAAGTTATAAAACCAAATTAAAATAACAAGTTACAGAAATAAAGTATTACTTCTGCCAATAAATTATAATGTATGCTTAAAAAAATTAACAATGTATATCTCTAACAAGAATATCTAACTAAGAACAGACAACTTAAAAAGAGACATTATGGTGAGGAAAATGTTAGATACTGCTTAAAGAATTAAAAAAATATTTAAAAGATATTATAAATCTGCATTTAAAAAAAATAATATATCTTAACGTAAATTTTACTGATATATAATATATTATTAGAAAAAATTAGAGATTCTTTTTAATATATCAGTATATTTTAATTAAATTTTATTTTACTTTAACCCATATTAAACAGTATTACTAATTAATAACTTCTTTATGTTAATTACCCGTGCTAATTTCAGACAACAATATTAGTTTCCATTACTACATCACATGCTACTACTATTATTTATGTTAGACCATGGAAAGGAGAAAAAAAAAGAGTCGTTGTTGGTCTGCATTCATTGTATGATGTAATTGTGTGAGAGTGCCCTATTTCCTTAGTATATTACCTACTTCGTAACGAACATAGCTGCATAGGTCAGCGAGTTCCACAATAAATGAAAGGAACATTGTCATCAATGGGGCTGGCTTGGTTCTGACTTTTCTTTCAAGTAAAGTTAGGAATTGATTCCATTCTACAACTTCCCACTTCTTTGTTTTCTAACTAGAGAATCGAATATTTCTGACATGTATTTAGGAATATATAATAATTTAAAATAAATAATTTTTTATTAAAAATTTCAATGTTACTAACTTTTTGTAATTTATGATATTTTTTATTTTTAATAAAAAACTATTATATATAATTTTGTAATGTATGCTTTAAAATCCATACTAAAAATATTAATCCTCATACATTTCAATAAAAAAAATACATTCTCTAATTTAAAAATATGTAATTAGATTAATTTATGCACATATTATAATCACATGCAAGGACTCGAAATTAACTTTTTTTCAACTTAGAATCAATAAGGATACTCCAGGATAATCATAAATTAGGTCTTATTAATTAGCTAATATTGTAGGTAGGACATTAATAAATAAAAAATTGAAAATTATTTTAAAAATATATTAAAAATCAAAATAAAGAATGTATTAATAACATTTTTTTCTTTCGCTTTCTCAATAAATGTTTTAAAAAGTATTAACCTTTTCCTAACAAATTATATGAAGTTATATTATAAATGGTTGAAACGAATGGTCTTTCTTCTTTCACCCAAAAAGAAAAAGAAAAAAAAAATGAATAGTCTTTCCTTAATATACTTACGCTAAAAATAAGTACCGTGCGACTGAGTGTCAACGAAAAAAGGCACGGCATTTTCGATCGCAAATTTTAAAATTCAGAAGAAGCATAAATTGAGTGCGCAAGAAGGTTGAACCTACGTACCCTTGGTTACACATTGACTTGTACAACAACCCTTTTCATGGATACTTTCGGTCAGAATAGATATAAAAGAAAGACATTAACATATATTTAGCCATTAGTGACCCAAAATTTGGGGAGAAAACATTGGTAAACAATAACATTCGATGGCATTATATTATTATTAAAATTAACAGCAGCAACAATAATAATATAAAGAGTTGAGTTGCCTTCTTCGTCACTTCTGGCACACACCAATTCTAAACCTTTTAAATGAAAGTCGTTGTTAGCTAGTATCTTGATTAGTTTATGTGCACATCTCGACTAATTTACCTCATTGATTGAACCAAAGGTAAGTAATCCGTCATGAACAACACTAAATAGACCCAATAGCCGAAGAAAAACACAACTAATTTTACCTTGGACTCGGAGTTGGACGGGTTTTAAACCAATGGCATTAATGGGAAAAAAGGGGCGCATCCGTTTGACATGCTATTTTATATAAGCAACGTGTATTGCTCGGACCAAATTTTAAAAAAAAGTAATGCACGTTATTTTTAATCCACGTAAACTTTTAAAAATATAAATAAAAAGAAAATGCTTCAAAATAAATAAAGCATACATCATATAAAATCTAAAATCAAGTCACTCTTGAAAAAGCACATGAATATGGTAATAGATAGGAAAAACTCCAACTATGCTTAATTTAAATGTTAACGATATAAAGACTTTTTTTTATCTCGACCAAAAAAAATTATTTTATACCCAAAGAACCAACAGCTTACCATAAACTTAAACTTGGACGACAGTGGATGAAAAAAAATTCTATTTCACATCGCAATAGCAAAGAAAGACAATAAATTCGATGACATAGAATAAAGAACACGTCATTAAGCCTTATTTTAGCTTTATATTTTAAACAATTCAAATAATAAAGTCTAATATTACTGCATTATATTCTATTTTATTGTAATCCATCCTTTTCTATTTTATATGAATTTAATTAAAAGTCATTAATAATAATATAGTTTTTTTATTCTATCATTCAATCATAAATTATTATATAATTAAAAACTATTAACTTTTATGATAATTACTTTAGAATTTATTTTTAATTAATTAATAGTATTAAAAAAAATTAAAATGATAGTACATTAAAATTAACTGATCTACAAAATTGGCCATTGGTGATCCCTTAGCAAACAGCAAAATGAAGATAAAGTGAAAGAAAGCTAAACGAACCCTGAAATCCAACTGCCACGCTGGAAGATTTTCCATTTGTCTCTATAGGCTTACAATTAGTATTATATTAGCATTATCCCCACTGAACGCTCCAACAGATTGAACATTTCATACAAGATGTTTGAAAAGGTAACGAGAACTGGTTAAGAAAAAAAATGAGAATATCTAGTTATGTAGAACCAAAAAAACTTGCAGAATTGTTTACATTTCTTTAAGACTACAAGATAACATGAAACTTTGAAATTTGGCTTGACAGCTAAAACAAACACAGGCATATGAACTTTCACGATTGAATACGAATTCATTCCCGAATTTGGAGCGCAAAAAAATTTGAAACCAATGAAACCTGGATTTTTCCCAGAAAAGGGGAGCAGGAGCCTCGAGGTAGAAAGTTAAAGAAACTGGGGTTGCACAGCAAAATAGGGGCAGAATCCCCCAGAATTGAGAGTTCGATCATTAAGAGGAAGAAGAGAAGACGCCCCTGACTAAAAGCAAGCACCATATCTCACAACAAGCATCAGCAACTCAACGTCGTGTATGACTTCTGCTGCTTTCTGCATTTCTGACTGGATTGAAGTAAGGGTGGGCCTGCATAGCATTGAGTATTTGTTTATATTGTCAAATAATTGTGTCGCAGGAAGGGCTAGGATTAACACATTCCATGCAGAATTTCATCCACAAAGGAGAAAGAAATTAACATGACAGGACTCAGACAGCAGACAAAACTAGTAGCTACAGCCAAATCATATTAGAAGCCTGAAGTCCGAGGTCAAAGATCGATTAGATCAGTGTGCTCAGATTAGCATATCTTAAGAAATGTGTCACTAAACTTATTGCAATGATAAAGATACCAAAGGTTTGAGAATTGTACCATAGCTTCTTTTGCAGTGGGCCGTTCTTGGTGATCGTACTGCAGTAACTTATCAACAAAGTCAACAGCCTTTGAAAACAGAAAAGGTAAATTTAGAAAGAAAATCAATGACCATATGGTATTCTCAACCGATATAATTTCAATGAATTTTACCTCAGGAACAGCCAAGTGTTGATTATCTGCATTAATGAACTTTTCCCATGGCTTCCGGCCATGCCTGTCACACAGTATACGAGCATTTTATTAGTCAAAACTTAAATAATAGTTAGCAAGCAAAAGCAACAAATATATATAATTGTGAAAATCCTGAAACTAACTTTCCAACAAGCACTGCAAGATGCGGGTCCAATTCTATGCGATACTTGTGCAGATATGCTTTTAATTCATCTGTTCCAAGTACCTAGTGCAGCAGGGCAAAAAAGCACATCATCAATCAACGATTTTTGGCCTTGATCTCTTAAATATGCAAGATTTTACACCAGAAAACATTCAGGTTGGTTTTGAAGGCAGAGATAATTATTAAAAAATATTTGCAGAAGCAAACATTCTGCATGATCATGACCAGAAAAATATGGCATCAGTTCGAAACAGAAGATAGAAATTCTGAGGCCAAGAATGACACTTTTTATTTCTTTAAAAAAGAAAAAAGATCAACAAAAAAATCCACAAGGGGTAGAAACTCTGCTACACATAAAAGATTAATAAACAACTGTAAAAATCCCTGGGTGAAGGAGAGTCATGCAATATGCGAGTAACAATGGACAACTGCAACATCCCCAAGGCTGAAACAGGTTATAAAAAATAAATGCTTGATCCAAAGCAAATGCACCAATAAATTATCTCCTAAAAACACAAATCAACCATAAAATCTGGCACAGGCTCCACCAAGTCGAGTTCACAATCTCTTCACCAACCTTGGCTATTTTGACTAGTTGATCATAGTTATCCTGTCCATAAAAGAATGGCTCCTTACGAAATATCTGTAAAAACATAAGCACCTGGTAAGCATAGCAGAAGACTACACCTTTAAATGGATTTTAGAAAGAGAAATTTATATATCAGGCCTTGGTGAAAAATGTAAAGGCTTAACCTGCAATCAAGAACCAGGCTAAACCCTAAAAAATAATTGAAATACAGTTTAAGGAAAGAACACCCCTTACCATTCCAGCAAACATACAACCGAGAGACCATAAATCTAGAGAGTAATCATAGTCTTGAAGATCAACAAGAAGCTCAGGGCCTTTGAAATATCTACAAACAATGCATGTATAAAGAAAAAGTACAAAATAACAGTTTCTTGTAGGCAAGTAATAAATTGAAATCTTTAAGAAAATCATATTCAAATAAGAAGCAAGAAGATAAAAAATCATGTATGATCACACACAAATCTAGTTACTTTGTTTTTGAAACATCAAGAAGCTGGTCACAGTTACTACAGTAGTTCCAATTATCCGCATATGCAGACTGCAGTAAAATAAATGAAGAATAATGCATTATATAAACTCAAATATTCATCCTTTACATACAATAAGAGACTTCCCATGCAAATTGTTGACAGTTCAAACATGAGGCAATAAGCTCTATTCTACATTCAAAATGTACTAAGTAAGGATCATCTAAGCGAAATGACACAAGGACTTGAATAACAATCCAAAGTAAGGCTCCACAAGGGAGACACCAAGCTCTCAAATTCCTGCAGATTTAATATTTTATGCTATTCTTCACTCCGGGTTCCATTGATCTAGAGTAGAATAATGATATTGATACATTTTTTCTCATTTTCTGTTAATCTCTATATTCTGAACCAGTGTCTATCTAAGGAACTTTCACGCTTTCAAGTGTAAGTGAAATTTTGAAAAACCGGAATAAGTATTTACATGAAAACACACCAAAAGAGTAAAATTCCTAGTTGTCCCATACAAGTTAGAAGAAAAAATGGACAAAATCAAACAAATCATAAGGGACACCGCCTCAGAAGTTTGCATATTCAATTTCCTATATAAAAAAAAGTAAGTTTCAGGAATATTGGAGCCCCAAGTATTCCAAAAGGAAGAGGACTGATGAAAAGAATAAAGGCTATATACGCAAGGAATATGTAATCTTAAAAGAAATATATCCTAGCCAAATATCCTCCCAAGATTTAATTCAATCGTTATTAGCTACTTCTAAAGAAATAAGTGGTTTGAAAGAGGCATATCCTTGAGAAATAAATTTCCAAGGGCTAAGTGAGATGCAAGGAATGCACGGTGGGCACACTTATCGATAGCATGCTACGGTAGTGTAGCAGTGCATACTGGACAAAGTTTGTATCACAGAGCATTTTTTATTAGTGGCTGTCCATAGTGCTTTAGCAGCACTACAGGAAGGCATCTCGAAAAACTCTTGTTTACCCTTGACCTAAGTCATTTGGGGGTCTATGCTCAACTTAGTCTCCTATGTGCTCTTCCATGTTGGCTATTGCATGACCCCTCCAACCCATTGCTCTCCAGCAACTTCGAGTCTTGACCATGACCTGGTATATTCTGGCCTACACCTAGTGGTTTCCGACAAACCCACACTAAGTGTCCATAAACTCTTCATTTTCTGGTCAAATACTTTGTCTTTCCCTTTGTTCTCACTCACTTGCAGGTTGGCATTGTTCTCTCCTTGTCCTCTTTTTTATTCTCTTTTTCTTTGGTTTTAGTTGGTTTTTAACATTCTATTCTAATTTTTGTATTTTGTCTTGTCAGAGTTATGTTTTAACTTATTTTCGTCTCTATAGTAGTAGAGGCTCAAACTTGTTTGTTTCCTTGACTTATTTTGTTCTTTCCTTGCATGTTTTGCATTCAGCCTATGACTTTGTACTGTTAATTATGAATCTGTAATGAACATTGACAATTTTTATTTTTATTTTTGAGCATTTGTATGTACATACCATATAGTATAAATGCAAATTATTTAATCTGTATGAAAAGTTTCAGAATTGCAGCCATCCTGCTATAGCATTTTTGAGGTCAAGAAACATGCATTGCTATTCAAGATTGATAACCAAGGTTGGCATCCCACCTACTTGGGCACAATTGTGTAAACCATATTTTCCTCTGTAACCTAATTCTATAATGAAGAATGAAGATTGATGAAGTCTATGGAGGGCAACGTCATCAGCCATTTACAAACAAAAGCAATAGTTTTCAAAACCAAACCCCTTTTCATTTTGGGCCTACAAAAAATATCCCAGCTTACCAAAATTTTCATCTACTGAACCTGATTAGATGAATTTATTTTTTAAAATTTATAAATCATCTGAATCAAAAGAGACATAAAAACCTTGAGGCAACGCGAACATTATATTCTTTCCCAGGATGATAGAACTCTGCAAGTCCCCAATCTATAAGGCGAAGCCTACGTTGCTCATGGTCAATCATTACGTTATGTGGCTTTACATCTCGATGCATGATTCCTTGTGAATGGCAGTAATCCAGTGCCTGAATGAAAAGTTTCACAAAACTTAACTCTTTGAAGTTGAAGGCCACAAATAATTGGTAAAAAAGGATGAGTTGACAAGGAAACTACTGCAATTATATAAATCAAAAACTCAACTAAGTAAAATAAGGCATGCACCAATCAGGATTTAAGAGCATGTATACTAAATATACCAATAAGAGAAGTCATAGGACACACATCAGAAAACATATTTAGATGTAGATACACTGTCTTTTGCAAGCATTCTTTGTAATGTTATTCTTCCAGTCAAGACATTATAGTTTGGTAAAACTGTCAACAGAGTTGTCAGAGTCATGGATCCTGGACATTAAATTCTGCAGAAGCCAACGTGATGCATACATCCAATCAGGCATAGTCAGAATTGAAAGGCATTTAAAAGACCATTAATACTAAAAGTACAACATCAAGAAACAAGCATTTATTGAAGAATCACAATCAGAGATATATGTATAAAAAGCTGTGTTATTTCATGGAACATATGAATGGATAATTAAGTTTCTGTATGCAAACCATTCTAACAAGAAGGCTTTGTTAAACTAAATAGATTTCAAGAGAAGAAAGGAAATAAATCTGAACTGTTATTGTATATTTATTGTTGTTATATTGCGCATAACACAAGAGAACTTATGGAGCAAAATTAAGTTCTACTAAAACCCTTACACAACCCAGGTCCATCCTGAGATTTCAAATTCCAAGAAACCAACCAATACATGTTCTTAATCTGTATACGAAAGCTTCTTCATCAAATCTATGCAGCAAATGGCTCAATTGCTATCTAATTCAAGTCTCCAAATATAAAATCACATCAAATAACCTTATTACGGTTACGAAACATTAGCATGTCTTGGGCCCAGCAATACAGAAAAAAAATATAATGACTACAAAAATAAATTATAGGTGTTATGTTCTTTACTAAACATGAGAGCATAAGAACTTGCCTTTAGAAGTTCATAGATATAATATCGTATATCATAATCTGACAGGGTAGGGTAGAGCACTTTAAAATCGGTGTTATTAACATATTCAAATATAAAGCTTGGGGTCTTTGATTGCTGGTCTCTAACAATGTCAATTAATTTTACAATATTGGGCCCTCCACAAAGATTCTGCAATATTTTGATCTCCCTCTTGATCTGCATTCCAATTCAGAAACAAGTAAACAATTTTGTACATATATATATAGCCAGAAGATGAGAAAGGGGCATAACACAACTCTTACAGGTTGTACGGAAATTGCACTTTAAACAACAAAACAAATAACTGGATAGCCTTCAAGAACTAATCTCTATCACTACGACTACTTGCATGGTCATTCACATCCAAAATCTAAAGAAACTACTCTGACTCCCTCTCTCTATATACACAGCAAGTTGAAGAATTTTAAGTCACAGCACACCATTCATTTCCATAAGAGAATTTATGTCACAGATTGAAGCATGACAGTTGCATTTAGAACGAAGATGCATAAACTCCTCTAGTGCCTGAGAAAGAGAAAAAAAAGATTGTTTTAATTAAAACTAAGTCATCATCTTAGCAACTCTTAAAAAGAAAATCGAAAAAAAATGATGGATTAATGGTTTAAAGTTCAGACAACAAAGCCACAGGTATAATGGAGTACACTATCCAATATCCATAAACCGCTACAGAACTAGAAACAAATAGCTGCACTGTCTTATTTTCTTTTAAACGATATAAACCCATGGACATCTTTCCAAACACCACATGAAAAGCAATATTAATGATTACTTGATACTTGAGCATACAGCAATTCACTCACCACACACCACATGAAAAGCGACAACCATTCATCAAAATGAAAAACAAAATTGCACAGAAAAGGAAACGTCAATGCCACGATTCACCTTCTTCTTCTTCACGGGTTTGAGGATCTTGATGACACATTTTTCATTATCCGTGCAGTGAACACCCTCAAACACCTCACTGTATTTCCCCCTTCCCACCTTCCTCACAACCTCATAATCATCTTGCTCCCTGAAACTCACACCAATAACAACATAATAAATAAATAAAAATCCAAAAAATATAATTAATTGTGGTTAGGATTGGATTATTCGTTATTACCCCCATTGGACGGAAAGGGACTCGTAGTCCCAATATTCCTTGGGGCGAACAACGTTGATATCGGCATAGACTCTGGCCTTAGAGGTGGCGCCAGGGCGGCGAGTGGCTTTTGCAATCTTGTGAGCCAGGGTGTTAGGTGGAGGTGACGGCAGCGCCGGATGATGAGAGTGCTGACGGAGCGAAGCCGCCGCGGACGCAGCGAAGCGACGGAGGAGGGAAGATGACGGAAAGTTGTTGGAGGAAAGGGAATGGCAAGTGCTGAAGAGAGAGAGTAATCTATCGCGCGAAAAGGTCGATTGGAATTGGAAGGGCCTAATGGCCATCAAATCGCAAATGCGAAAAAAGTTGCAGCAAGGCCTTCTATGTCTTCTTCACACATCCAACCCCTTTTGTTTCTCATTATAAAATAAAATATCTTTCACGATGGAAAGGCCCAAAAATAAATATAAGAAAAAGTAAAATAGCTATGGACTTCTCCAAGTAAAATATCAAGGCAATTGGGAATTTCGGACAACTTTACTCTCTATAGTTTTTTAAGTCTTTTTAATAAGATGTTTTTTTAGAAAAAATATTAGTTTTTTTTTCATTTTTTCATTTTTTCATTTTAATAAACATTTCTCTTTCTTGTATTTTATAAACATTCTTTTCACTTGTATAGAAAATGCACCTGATAAAAAAAATTATTAAAAGTTCCAGTATTAAATAGTATTAATATACTGAACTACATTGAATTAAAAATATTTCAATAAAAAATCTCTTCTTATTACATGTAATGTTACATATGAGAAAAATATATATTTTATGAGTATAATAAATAACTAGTTTTTTATTTTATCTTTAAAAATTAATTTTATTTGATAGATAATAATAATAAATAAGATAACTAATATAATAGGTCAATGATATAATAATATTTTAAATAATGACATTTTATAAAATCTAGAATGTGAACAAATTTTTAATATAAAAATACAGAGCCCAAAATGTCAAATGAAAAAAAAAGTTATTTGTTTAAACATTGTGTTAAGTGGTTCTCACGGGATACATAATCTTATAGTATAGAATGAAAAAACTTCATTATCAAAAAACAAGTTTATCAAAAACTTTAATACACGGTAATCCTCTTTTGGAAGAGGAATTTTTAGGTGGTTCCGAAACTACCATTCACATTGTGCCAGTTATTTAATATAAATAGGTGTTATATTTCGCTTGGTTGAAACTATGATGATTCAGGAGCACGAATAATATTTTCTTTTAGAAAGGTTCTTCTTTCACGTATAAATGTTGAGTTTTGTTGTTTAATACACTTATTATAGATCGAAATATGTGTGTATTTTAATTACTGTGAGATGGTGCTTGTTTTGCTTAAATAAGTTTGTCACGTGAATTAGAAAGTTGTTAAAATAGTATTAGGCAACAATTAAGTTATTTCAATTTTTATTCAAATGTTATTAATTTGAGATGATACGAGTGACTTCAAAATGACATGTATTAAGGACAAATTAAATTTACAATACAATAAGTATTCTAATCCATTATAATTTTATAAAAAATTAACAATACATATTAAGAAATTATTAATTTAATTAACATATACAATTGATTTTCTTATGAACACTTCCAATAACGATTTTTAATAAAATCAAATATTTAATAAATTATTATTCAAGATAATATTATTCTGTCATACTATTACCATAAATTGTATCATTATAACTCTCTTTTATTTTTTTTTTCTACATTGAATTTCACATATACTTAGTAATGTTTTATGGAAATTTTTAGATAAGCATAAACTAACACCAAACTATTTAAACATTATGTACTACATTTTTATAGAGACATCACTATGCAAAACAGGATGCAATATGTTCTCATCTTAACAACTCACAAACTTATGAGGGAATCGTCAATCCACATTTAGTCAAGTTCTTCCACACTAAGACTGCATTAAGTAATAGAGACTAAACAAATATCACTATCTTTCTTCGTACATTGACCTTACAGATCTTACGTAAGGTCTGTATTAAACTCAGCTTTTAAACTACTAACTGTAATAAAAATTGATAAATATAGTAATAAACAAATTATACATTGTATTTATTGTTACAATTACAATTTCACACCAACATGTTATTTATATTTTTTCTTAACCTCTTACTCTCCATCATTTTTCACAACTGATACTGTAAATTCTTTTATCATAAAAACAATTCTCTTTTCTAATAAATTTTCACACTTGTTGAGCATAAACCTTAAAATTTCAATCCTAATTTATGATTTGACCCCGAATTAAAAAAGTGCACGATACTTTTTAGTTTTTATGAAATAGTTGTTATTTTTATCATATTTGTAAAATTAGTAAAAAGTATATATATACAATTTTTAACAAATATTTTTAGAGAAATAATATAAATTTATATATTATTTTTTTTATAAAAATTAAACGAATCGATGTATTAAAAATTACACAATAATATAAATTATTGCAATATTTGATAAAATCTTATTTCTTCCTTATTTTTTAAAATCCGTTAGGATTGATCCGAAAGTTTTTTTAGTTTTAGATTTTAATTTTTTTTACTTGTGTTCTTATTCGATGACTACGAATGAAACTCAATTTAATTAAGGTGTTTGTTGTGGTATTTATAAAATTGAAAAAGTATTATATACTTTATTTATATTAATATTAATGTGATAATTTTTTTAATTTATTAAAGATGAGAAAGTATTAATATTTTTTTTAACTAAATTACTAATTTTATTATTTGTCAATATAAAAGTAATAAGATTATTAAATTATTCCACGTGTAAGAGAAAATATCAAATCCTCTTAGTTAAAAGTAGTATCATTAATTTTATTTTTAATTAATTTTGTTTCTTACTTTTATCTACTTTTTAATTGAAAAATAATAAAATAGTTAAAGATAATGAATAGAGATATTTTATTCAAAATGTGATAATATCTTGCAATAAGTAAAACTTTTTAACATGTGTGCAGAAATCTTAAACAATAAAATATAAAATATAGTTAAGGCATTATTCATTGATTTTTTTTTTACATATTAAAAAAATACAAACTTAAAACAAACAAATGTACATCTTGTTAGTTGGATTAAGTTCAAAGTGTTAGATGATGATAAGAATATAATGTTATAATACTGTTTTTAAACAATTATTTTTAACATTTTATATTAGTTTGTGCAAATTAGTCAATTATAAAAAAGTGAAAACTACATAGTACAATTTAAAAAATTGATAAAATTTTTGAAAATTAAATACAAAACTATTTTTAATTTCATTATATGCTCAAGTACGCCTTATTTTATTTTTTATTGAAAAAAGCACAAAACTTTCAATCACTCTAAGGAGCCCTTTGATATCTTGATCACGTTAATTTTAAAATACAGGACTACATACTAATTTTCAAGTCAGCAGTAGATTTACCTTTAACATTTTTTTTAGAGGGGGAGGGGGAAGATTGACTTGGTATCCAAGTAAAGTATTTTCATTAAAAAAGGGACACAAATATTATTCATACAAAATATAACGTAAATATATTTTATTAAAAAAGTAATAATTTTAATAAATTATCATAAAAAACGTTTATTTAAGATTATTTAAAAATACCTTTATTTCAAGAAATAAATATCTTCTCAATTTATAATTGTCTGGTAAAAAATAAAAGATAAAACATGTATATTTTTATTAAATATTTAAAAATTAATAGTTAAAAATGGAAATTTTGATTTTGATTTTAAATAAAGCTGTTTTCTATAAACAAAAAAATTATAATTTTTATAAAATCTATTATCTTCTCTACAAGTATTTATCCTGAAAAAAATGTAAAAAATAATATTATTTCTTATATTGTTTTAACATAAAAACAAAATTTAATCTTACTTTTACTTTATTTTTGTATAGTATTTATATTATATACTTTTATAATTGATGCTGTTTACTAAACAGTCCTCCGCGGGTAAAAAACGTGCAAAAATCCCATGCCGGCCATACTGGAAGGCAAAGGTGGGGGAGCGAGCCATGGATCACGTGATATGGTTGGGTCTGGTCTATGGTTGTGGAGGGTTATGGGGACTTTATCCTGCTTATGCTTAAAATGGCCCAAAAACTTTCCAACATACGGGAAACAGAAAAAGGGTCAGGTTCAGACTCTGAGCGCCAAAAGTGCCCACATGGAAAAGACGCTAACGCCACCCCTCCCATTCAGCATCAAAACCCGCGAAACTTCCAAACAGGTAAACTGAACGCACTCCCTAACCTCGCGCCTACCCTATATATTCCTTCATTTTTCAAACTTTCTCGTTTAGGGTTCACCAAACACTAACATACGCACGCCGCATTGGGCTCCTCCGCTTGAAAACTCCATGGACGACGTTAGGGTTACCTCTGCCTGGGTCGCTAGCTGCTCCTCTCACGTTGTCGTCGACTCTGCAGGTTTAGCCTCCGACTAATGCCGTTCATTTTGCGCCTTCGTTTTTTCATCTTGAATGCTTCAGCTTGTGCATTCCGAAGACTAAAATTAAAACAAAAACAAATGAGAATACGTATTTGCCTTGTTGCTTTCGTTTTCAGGAATTGAGAAAGTGGTTAACACCATTGAGTCCATTCCCAAGGTTGAGTGGGATTTTGAAGGGATTCACTATTTTGATAATGGACCACTCACCGTTCAGTACTTGTTCGTGTTGGACGCTTTAAATTTTTGCTTCTGGCCTGGTACGTTCGGTTTTTGTTTTTGTCGAAGGACTGTGATTAATTAATTCCTCCGGTACCTTAATTAGGGTGTTAATAGTCCTCTGTTTTTGTAAATTTATTTTTAATTGATATTTTTCTGAAAGATGTTCAAATTTATCTGTCACGTTCTGGTTGCATTTTACTGGTCACACTGAATTGAGTTTACCAGAGTAGGTAGAAAGTAAGGGGACATGGTTTCTTATGCCTGGTGTTTCCGTTTTTGACTGTTGGCATATATGCGTGGTATTGTGGATAAAGAAGCGCTTTATCAGTGTTAGAGAATTAGCAAGTTGATATGCGTGCAGAATGTATTGGTGACACTTAATAGATGTGAAAATGTTCTGTGAGTATGCAAGAGGTGGCAAATTTGGATTTTCATATCTGTGACTCTGATGTTGTACTTCTAAAAACATTTGTTTCGGTCAACAACATCTTGGTTCCTGTGTATCATTGGCTTAATATATTACTAATTGTCAGTTGTGCATTCGGTAGAGTGGCCGCCTTTATAAAATACCCTGGCTTATAGAATTCACATTCATCGGTCATTAATAAAAATATATTTTTAAAAAAATAACCTTTGTATGATATATTTGAATAAAAAAGCATACTAAACTCTCTTTTTTTTTTAATTAAAAGGAATGATTAAGCACTTAGATAAAGTGTCTCTGCCAGTAAGTTTATAATACATAGGAGATTAACTGATTTTTGAATTCCTAATTTCCTTGACATGCTGATGATGAATAATTATATGCCATTTTATCATACTGAACGCTCGTTATGTATTTTGGGGTGCTGGGTTGGGGAGGGTGTTTATTGCCCATTCATTACGATGATCAGCAGGTTGGTTATCTAGTTGACATTCTAATTTACAAAGACATGAAATAGTGATTAGTTCTGCCAAGGATTATAACATATCTATTTTTTATCCTGGGTTTTTAACTTTGCCATCCGTTATGTTCTTTTAATTCTCATTTGCTAAAAGATAAGGATTTGAGTTATGATCACTTGGCGTCTGGGTTAAAGGCGGCTCTTCAAAACGATAAATCTGTGTTCGATGCCGATCGTCTGCAAAAGTACACTGGTAATTCTGGTTGGAACTTGTGTTGTCTGTATACAAATTAACACAATTGTTAAAATACATCCATTCTCATGCACACGTTTTAATGGAAATGACAAATGTGTCAAGAACTTCATCTTCAAGTCAGCTCATGTTTTATTATCAATTGAAACTAAGGTTTGTTAAAATATTGAGGTTGTTAAACTAGAGTTGGTATGGGCCTATATTGCATTGTAGGACAAATGTCGGTGTATTATATTATGTATCACTTACAGGTAGTCCGGTCCCTACAATGAAGAGAACATTGTTAAGTTTTTGTTCATTTTAAGCTGCCAGGTCAAGGACAATATTTATGCTTGGCACATGTGTGCTTGCTTAAATTGGTTTGGTGTTAACAGCAATCAGATTGAAGTTGTTCAAATGAGATTACAAATATGGAATATATTCTCAACTTACATTATATTTTCAAAAGATATCTACATCTACGTTTATATCTGTTCATATGATTGGTTCTCTTGCTTCAGTGCTTCCAATTAAAAAAATTGCTTTTCTATGAATAGCATAATGACAAAAATCAGTTCATAATGTTAGGTCCACAGCTACGTGAGCTTTTGAGGTGGCCTCGACCTCTTCCTTTGGAAGATGAACGTGTTAGGTTACTTCATGAGGTACAGCAAATCATTACTGATGTTACCGTTAATCGAAGTTTTTTTCATCTTGAACTTATCTACGATGATGATCTTATCTACGATGATAATATTACCCTCTTCTATTGCTAGGTTGGGATTGAATTAGAACGAAATTTTGAGGGTAAAGCATCCAATCTTGTGGAGTGTTGTGGAAAATCCGCTGTGAGTCTTGTTGCTCTTGTTGCACGCCATTTTCCTGGTATAGCCTTTTTTCTTCTTTTGTCAACTTTCATACTCAAGTTCCAAAATACATAATGCCCACTTTATAGACACTTTTTTTTGTAATTGCTACAAAGGACACTTTTTAGCTTTCATTGACTCCAATATTAATTGGTTCTAGGTTTTAGAGACCACTCAGTGTACAAAGGCCGCCAGGTGTTTTTATATAAAAGAGCTCAGATATTTGCTGCAGATTTATGGGGTGCATTTAGGGGCCAAGGATATGGCGAGTTTAAAGACATCAACTCTCTAACTATAATGGCGGACTATATTGTCCCAGCTGTGCTTCGGCAGTTTGGTGTTTTAAAATATAGTTCAACACTTGCCAGTATTATTGAGGCCAGTGGAGAAATAGGTCCCGGGACCGAAGAGGAAGTTGAACTGCGGGCTTGTTCTATACATGCAGTGGAGAAAATGAGAGAGCTAATAAGTAAAAAATCAGGAAGACAGGTTAGTTTTTCTTTTCTATGCAGAGTACTCCCCCTTATAGCCCTTTTTTAAATGCATGTAGAGTGCTATTCCTTGTAAGCTTATTAAAAGTTCAAGTGACAAAAAAGTATAGAATAAACCAATACTGATACCTTTTGTTTTAGTTTTTTTTATAAACAATTAAATCATTCTGTTAAACTATCCTTTTCTCAAGAAATATTTGTAATAGGAAGGAAAAGTTGCATATTTTCGCTATTATTGCTCGTGTTTTGTGCAATTCATTTTATCTGAAACTGAAAGCCGATCTGATTATTTAGGTGCTCAGTGTGGAGCTGGATCTTTGGCTCTGGGCTTCTGGTGTTCAGTGCACATCTCTGCAGCACCACCGAACACTCTCAATATATTATTGAGCACGTGATATATGGTGACTTCTAGCTACCAACAAGAAAATTTTGGCTGTTTTATATATGATAACGTGACTAACTACCTCCTTCTGCACTTATGTTTGGAATAAACTTTTGTAATTTCGGCAGGTGCCTCTAAAGTTAATTATGAATAGCCATTGTATTTGGATTTTAGGACCTTAAATAGTTTACAGGGTTAACAACTGGGCTCATGGTGTTTTTACCATAGCAATAGGTAAATATTTTACCTGGTTAAATATAACCGTTGGGATAGCCAGGGTTGCAACAGCGGTAGGGGCATTTTTACTATTCCCGAAAATTTTCCTTCGCAAGGGCAGCTGGACAACAGAAGGGACATCAGCTATCAGCATACAGCAATTAGCCAAAGTTTGCATTTTAGTGTTTAGGTGTATTATGTGATCATGCCTGAACTTGCAATGAGTGATATCGTAGATTTTATCGCTTTTATTCTAGGGGGAGTGGGGCGATTAGTTTATGAGACTGCTTCATACTGAATATATTAACCTGTTCATTGTAGTACCCAAACTCGTATAGGCAGTCAATGCCTCAGGCTGTTGGCTTGTACGCAATACTTGCATCCGTGTAGCGTTGCCTTTCACTTTCACCAACCAATTTACGAATATCGATCAACTGGGCCTATTCAAATATTCGGTTGACATGTTTGAGTGTAGACCCCCTTTATGTTTGGTTTTCTTTTCATTCGAGCTCATTTATTTCACAACTGATTACGAGAAACAACCTCCATTCTCTTTCAAGAAACAACTCTTTTCTTCCTCAGATGTTGCTGTATAACCCCCAATCATCTCCAAGGCGGGAGAATCCAAATTGCATAATTCAACAACAGGGTTCTGGTGTTCGCCCGGGGTCCGAGCATTCATCATTCTCAAAAACTCTGATTAGCCCACTATGATAATGGACCTGAAACTCTTTCCTAGTCTACAGGTCAATAACTTGATTTTTTGTGGGTTTTTATGACCGTATTGGTCTGCAGAACTGGCTTATCCGTTATTTATGAATAAATACTTACGTTAGCTCCTCAAATTGTGAGCATCCATTTCTTGAGCATAAATCTATAGATATTTTATTTAGTCATTTTTTACTTTATATATTTTTATTTTAAATTAAAAAATAACTAAAATAAATGCCGTTTTGTGAACTCAGATATTAGAGTGAAAATTTACTCATTTATTTATACTTAACTAAATCGAGTAATTTCATTATGGCCATTGGAATGGGAATAATATTTATACGTAGTCGGGAGATCCATAGTTTTATAGCTAGTGCTGGATCGCTATCTTCAACATCACAGCATATCAGCATCTCTGAAGAGTTAAATTGTGAGGTTGCTTCAATTATGTAGTTTTTATTCTAATCCCTTTTTTACATCTATTGGTGTTTGGTATAACTGATTGAATTTGGAGGTGGCGTGGCATGGGATGATGAATTTACAAATGATCAATTCTAAATATTTTATGCAAAGTTCGGCATCAACCCGAGAATGGAGATTGAGTTTGTTCGGTAGACCTTTTTTTTTTTTTTGGGTCAAGACTCGGTACACCATAAAGTACACCAAGAATTGTTCTGCTTCCTCGGCTACCTCTAGCTCCCAGTTAATGGCTTTTTTCTTCTTTTTTCCTGATACGGGAGATGGGGGACAGGGGAGGAAACGGAGACTATTTGCTTAAAATCGAACTCTTTTCCTATGTGTTATAGGTCTTATCTGCTTAAACAACCATTTGGAGATCAATTAAGTGCATTTTTTTTAATTAATGTTTAAAAAGTTTATGTATAAGATAAAGCAATAAACCTTATATAATTGTTTGTATTTTTTCATAACTGTGGTCTTCTGATGACTCCTCCCCCGTTTTTTTGTCAACCTTTTCCCTATAAAATGGTAAAATCAACTCAGATATGGCACCAAATTGGGGTGTCGGAATTTAATATTCTTCAATAGATTTATGTAAGCCTTTCATGCTGCTACACTGCATTAACAATATTTTGTTCAATATGATTTCGAAGGTGTTCACAGTTTCACGGCTTAGGTTGAGTTGTTTTTCGTGGCTAAATGCACCAAGTTAAGTTAGATTGCATTCTAGATATGATCCAACTTAAGGGGTTTGATGACTAGAGCAGTTGAGCCCAGATGTGTGGCAACTAATATGTCAGGAAAAACAAAATATCTATTCTTATAAGTAATGCTAAATACTAATATTTTATAGCTATTATTGACTATTGATTGAATTATTTCTGTAAATTTCTTCCATGCTGGGGTCGAAAAGTTTATTCGAGCTGAACACTTTTTTCAAGAAAATTGAACTCACAATTTAAATCCTAATTGTTTAACACGATTAGATGATGAAATATTGATCTCTCCTACGTGTCGTAAATAAGAAGAGGAAATCTTGAGTTTTTTTGCGGCCTAGTCTAGGATATCTTTTTTCTCTTGGAATTTCTAATTCTATTTCTACATCATAAAGATAGTGCACAGATCGATGCTTGGGGCACAGTAAAATTGTACCACGTTTGTGGCAGGACAAAAATTACAGTATATATCTGAACACGATAACCATTAGAAACTCACAATTGAAGGATCAGCATGGTCGATGTCATCGGCAGTGTAATACCACCCCCTCTGAACCTGAAGTTCGACATCTCAGTTCTAAAAACTTTCCCAACAGTAGCTTCTGCAACTAGGAGTATATTTGGATGCTACAGATTGTGAAGGGGAAATCCAGTCTGTTTCCGAGGCTTCTTCCCCTCTTCGGGAACCACCGTTCTTGGGCCGTATCGAGCATTTCTGTGCCCAAAATCTCTAAAAGCTGATATATTTGCACGAAATTAATAGGACGTGTGTATTCAGTGAGAGGGTTCCTTTAATGGTGTCTGTGTACCTGCACTTTCAGAAATCAGGTGTAGCTTCAAAAAGTGGTGGTTTTTGACAACTGCTGGCAGCAACCTTGTTTGATCTTTTTTCCCTTACTTGTTCCTTGGTGGGTAGGACCACTCACTCTGAGAGAAAGTTTTAAACTTTGGTACATTTTCTTTGTTTTTACTTTGGTTAGAGGAACAGTTTGAGGCCAGTTATACCCAAGCACAATACTTTTGCTTAGGTAATTTAAGGTAAAATCTCAGCCACTCATGAGGGAATAATATTTGTACTTCATCATCTCGACCATCAACTTAATCCTATAATAATTGCTTCGTGCGTGTCTGTAAGAATCACACCAATTTTACCTTGCGTACATCAGAATTAGAATGAATGTGTAATTAATAGAAAAACAAATACATTTAAATTATGAAAGTAACAAAAACTTGAAATGAAACATGTAAAATTAAGTGTGAATATCTGGTCTTCTTTTAAAAATGTTTGATGCAACAGTCTAATTAAACAGAAGTTCTGTACTTGAGATTCGAATTGATTTGAAGAGGAAGGACAACCAAGCAAGTTACTTTTGAGACATCGGGACCTTACCATCAACATCATGATTTATGGGTGGAATCGGACTCAAGCTAATCCAAATGTATGTTGATAGTACAGGGACCCACAGATCGGAATCTTTAGGATATTGCCTACATTTTCACCATGATTTGAGCTCTCCTTGTTTGTATTATGTAGATAAATATATAGCGTCTCTTTTGCTTTTTAGTTGATGATGGTCCTCAACGCTGTTCATGCTTCTTTTTTTAATCCTCGCGTTAGCTCCATAATCGTAATTCTAACCATATATTCACTTTCATTTGTATTTTTTTTCCCACATCTTCGTTCCATATCCTTAATTTTATCTCCCCATTGATGTCCCATCACTACTGTTGTGTATAAATCAATATTTAATAAAAATGTATGTGTGTTTGTATAACTGCACCTTTTCCCCCTCTTTGAGACGTAAATAGGTGAAGTTCTCGTTAGAAATTTTCGATCTAATTTACATAGGTTATAGGTTAAGATTAAGGTCGACCTGCTTTTGAAATAAATTTACCCAATTTTTCTTAAAAGTCTATTTAGTTTAATGAGTCAACTTATAATAATAATAACAATACCATTACTGTTACTACTAATAATAATTTTTTTTTAAGAATTTAAGTATGCTGACATGACTTATGTATAAGATTAGGCCATTAACCTAATTATAAGTAAGTTTGTTTGCCTGTTTAAAAGTTTTTGCTGAAAATTAGTCTTTTAAATAAATATTTAGGACAAGTTGAAATTTTATAAAAGTTAAGTCAGACTTAAAAAAAATAGTCTTTTTAAACAATTTTTATTTTAAAATATTTAAAATCAACCTTAAATAAGAATAATAGCAAAAGTATTAAAAAATAAGTTAGATTAAGATTTTATAATCTAAAACGTAGTCTACCTTAACTATTTTTACCCTTACTTTCATTCTCACAGTTAAGGACATATGATGAACATACAAATATTTATATGCATATTTCAGAAAATGATGCGTTGATACTTCATTGGAGGTGTTTACACCCCTAGAAAAAAGAGGAAAATATTAAAAGATAATAAAATAAATAAATAATATAATAAAGAAAGGGAAGAAAATCGAGTGAGCATATAAATTCAGATGATATAATATGAACATATTTAGCAATGGTCTTTGCCTTTTTCTTACCCTTTCTCCTCGCTAAGCTTATCATGAATTTCTGAATGTGAAAAAAGAAAATCATAGCATGTCGCATAATTTCAAGAGATTGGGCGGCATATACGTCAACAAGCAATTCTTGATGTTTATATGCGGGGCCCTTCGGAAAGCTTTGTTACAAAAAACAGTGATAAACAGTTTCACAAAATATCTTTATATATGTATATATATATTAATATATTTTCCCCCTTTGCTGGAGCTGAAATTTGGAATGGACATGTGATGGCGAAGTTGTATATAGAGATTTTATTTTTATGTGTTAGAGATGGAGAAAAGAATCTCCATACCACATCGACGAACAAAAGACCTTGTAAAGTTTCAAACAATAATCCAGTGGCCGAAATTAACGACAAGACAATGCTACAGTAGCCCGAGAACGTATGTAAGTGACTAAGTGGTGGTTCACTCTTCTTTCTACCCCCAAAGGTTACTGTGTTTTCTAAAGAAATCCAAAATTGTCTCATGCCATTGTTGGGTTTGAGATACGAGGGAGAGTGTTCAGGGAGTCATCACCATCATTCCAAGTTGTTTCACATTACACCGTCCTAAACTTTTAAGGTAACAGGGTGTAGTATACTACTTATATATATATATATATATATATCAATAAGGTTCAGATTAGTTAAATAAATCACTTATAGATGCTATTTAATATTTATCTTTTTAAATCACACTAGACTCCAACTTTTATATTAAAAAATTTTGAAAAATTTTAAATTGATAAATATAATTACATATGATTAAGAAAATTATTTTAACTCGTTACTTAAATGTCTTCTGCATTCGTCTGAATGCAACCC